GTCACAAGCGGCGCGCGCGCTCCGCCAGTCATCGTTTATCCAGGAGACTTATTAGCGTCCACTTCTGGCTAGTGCGCTGCCGCCACGCTCTCCAGCTCATCGCATGACCAGGCCGTATCTAGCGCCGCGGGAGCGATGACAGTCCGGCGAGGGGCGCCAAAAAACTGTCCCGCTGCAGAGCATCGCTTCTTGAGTGTCGATCCCTCACCTTAAGATAATACCATTCTCACTTATCATTTATCTTTCTTATCATTCATCAGACAATGCGTCAGGACAACGTGGTCTTGCATAGGGCCCCGAGATGCTCTTCCAACGCCGGTCCGCCGGTACTGTCCTCTGACAGTGTCCGTAAACCCCGTCCGGATGTATCCGGATATGTCCGGATGTGTCCGCTCCGGACCTGATCCCCTGGGGAGCGCAGCGTGTCGGCGGCCAAACACCGGCGGCGCCGGCCGCGCTGAGGGACGGCCGGTCGGTCGGCCGCTGTCGGCGCCCACCATAGGCCGGCGCATCACCATACGGGGCGAAAGCACCGTTAAAATCAACGGCGTGTCACCTTTGACACGCTGCCGCCCCCACGCTCGGCGGCGGCGACGGCGGCCGCCCACACCGGCCGGCGGCGCCACGGGCGCGGCCGGCACCGGCGCCGGGTCAGGGCGGCGTCCGGTCAGACGGCATCGAGGCAGACTGGACCGAGTCTAACCCTGGCTACGAGGCGGATAGACACCAAGTCAGCTCAGCAGCGGGTCAGACGGACCGGGGCGTCGGACCAGCGGGAGCTAAAGGCGGGGCATAACAGACGCCGTAGCGAGTATCAGTAGCTCTGACGGCGCTGCAGGTGGAGGACCTCCCTGGGTCAGAGGTCACACATGCCCGCTTGAGGTCAGCGTCGAATTACTCAGCAGTGGCGACTTGTGAGCCACCGAGTGAAATGCATGGAAACGGCGGCGGCGGCGACAACGGCCAGCGGCTCACCACGCCATTCGTCGCAGCGATAGTTAAATCACATCACAGACGCCGCGTTATTCCCACGGGGACGTGCGTGGCGCGCCGGCGCCAAGCACCGTTCATCTCATCACGCCCGCCCGGAACTGCGTCAATCACAGCGCGGGCCTCGCTCGGCCCAGCTTGAGCGCATCCGTCGCCAGCAGCACGCACCCTTCGGCGACCGGCCGTCGAAATAACAGCTGTGTTACTCACTCTGCAATTAGGAGGCGGGCCGCGCGGCGGACGCGGCGCGCCGCCGCACCGGTCCGGCAGCGCGCGCGCGCGCCGCGGGTGCCGCAAACCCTTCCCATGGCCGGCAGCCTGGCCGGTCATCCCGCAAACGGCCGTTGTCGTCCAGTGGACCGCGGTCGGACAGAGGCGATCGGCCGGCGCGCTCGAGTGGAGCGTCCGCCGCCCGCTAAAAACCGAGCGGCGCCGGCTTCGCCGTCGCCGACGAAAAACTCGACCGGGTGGACCGCGACGTGGGCCGGAGGACAAGACCCGGCAGCAGCAGCAGTCTGGACCACAGCTGGCCAGGTGGGCCGGGCGGGACCGCGGCGTGGGCCGGAGGACAGACCCGGCAGCAGCAGCAGTCTGGACCAGCTGGTCAGGTGGGCGGTGGCCGCCCGCGTAGGGCCTGGGCGGTTCCCAGAGCGGGCGGGGAGTGGCCCGAGTCGCCTGGGGCGCCGGTCTGACCGGCAGTCAGGACACGCGGTGGGCCGAGGCGCGGTTGGTGTAGCAAGGGACCGCTGGTCCGAACACTCCCCTGTTGGTCGGCCTCAGCACTGGGCTGGTTTGGTGCTGGGTCCGCAGCCCCGGTGCGCCAAGCCTTAGTGTCGAGGCGCCGAGTCCCCACCGTCGCCCCGTGTAGTCCGACCCTCCCACACACGCAGACCGAGGTGGTACTCGAACTTCGCGTGGGTCGATCTAACAAACGCTGACCAATGAAAGCCTCAGAGCGCGGAGCGGTATCCGACATTCGGCGTGGCTGACCCGACCGACTCAGACCCTCCCTGAGAACCTGGGGCCGGTTCCGCTGCTCCACAACACAGCGGCACACTGGACAAACCAGGCAGCCGGGGCGGACCCGCTAGCTGCCGGCCGAGGACCAGCCAGCGGCCGGCGCCAGCGGACCGCGGCCCCCGGTGGTCCGCTTATCCCAGGCGTCACGACTCCGAGACAACAGCCGTTCCGGCGGCGGCGGGTGGCGACGGCGGAAGTGGATTCCTTCCGGCGGCGGCGGCGGCGGCGGCGGCGGCGGCGGCCGGCGCGTGAGCGGCTGCCGGCGGCCAGCATTGTGGCCACGACCGGGCGTGAAATGGCCGCGATACGCGCCACCTGGCGGCGTGCGGCGCGCCGGGATCGGCCGCGACGGGGGCGGCCTCGCCCGGCACTCCGCGCTCACGGCCGCATCGCGGTCACGCCGGGGTCGCAGTCACGCAGGGGTCACAGTCACGCAGGCCGGCGGCCACCGGCGCCGAGCCCGGCCACGGCCGAGCCGCGCGCCGGGCAGCCCGGGAGGACAAACGCCTGTGTCTGTGGTCGCGGTGTCGCGTGTGCCGGGGCAATGCCCCAGGCGATGACCTGGCTGTGGCGCAGGAGCAACGTCCTACGGGACGCACGCTCTGCTCACGGCTTGGTGAGTGGCCGGCCGGGCTCGTTAGCGAGACCGGTAGGGGCTCTGACGTCGCTTGCCGCCGTTGGAGGGGTGGAGGGATCTTGTGAGGTTTGAAGGATCTTGTGAGGTGATGGTACAGTGACGAGTGAATGCGACCCTTGGGGAATTACATCGTAAAAGTCTTGGCAAAAAAACTGCTGTCTTTGTCACTAATGCTTCCGCAGCCTCTGATCCACATTTTGCCAGAACTAGCGCCCATGGCGGTGCTGTTGATGGCGTTCCTCCAGCAGTTTATTTGGAACTGCATGACCAAGGTAAGTTGCCGGAGGCGTACATCACAAATGCATTATAATAGCTGTTTGTACAGCATTTCCGAGAGCCTGCCACATTAGCAGGGACAACTATGCGGCGAACATACCAGGGACACCGGCTGATGACTAGATCACAGAGCGTCGCAGGGGCCACTTGTCTCGTCCCGACAAACTACGGCGACATTCCAGGCCTCAGCAGGCTGGATGGCGGATACGACCCAGCGTTCCAGGCAGAGAGAGACGTCTTGTCCCTCGCGGATGGGACAGTGCGCACAGTTCCCTCGCGTAACAGCTGAGGACGACACGGGCCTGGGCGAACAACGATGCTGGTGCTTCTAGTCTATTCCAGAATGATCCAGGGAGGTGGCAAATACATTCAATGCTTGAAACCGGTAAGCCGATAAAAAATTAGATTATAAAAATTGGCTTTGAAGTTAACGCAAACGGAGCCCGTTCGCTGACAAAACCCACTCAGCACCATCGCCGGGTTTCTTACCACCAAATGAAAAACTCATCCGGCGCCGCAAATAAAATTCACCACGCCTCTCTGGGCGACAGTCCGTTTACCTGCTAGCGCATCAGAGGTACGACACCCAGGGTACGATTTTCTGGACGCGCCTCAAGTCACGTGGTCCGAGACGACGTCACATTCCAGGCTGCGGTGTGGTTGCGACAGCGGTGCTTCTACCGGACTGGGCCCCTACCTGGTGCTTAGTCTGCCCCCTGGCCCGTCACTAATGTGGCCAGGAGCGGCGGTGCTCGTGTCTGGTGCCTCCGAGTGAAGGCCTCGCTCACCAGCAGCCCCGTAACCCAGTGTGCGTCAGCCGACGCCGACCACTGCGGGGTTTACCACGGTGGCGGTGCGCAGGACTACAAGACCGTGGAGCGGAATGCTTTCTGTGGTCCACCGCGGAACGAGGATACCATGTGTCCTGAGCATTCGCCCAGCGACGGCCAGTTGCGTACGGCCCTGGACCGGCAAATACAATGCCCTCGGTTCCGCTCAGACAAAAACAGGGTAAATGATAAAACACTATAAATGTCATTATGGGTACTCACGACATGACAATTTTGCGATGCAATTGTAACTTTGTAGGCAGCTTTGGACTATTTTCCAATGCTTGGCTATGACTTTAAACTAATGTGTCTGCATCACGACTTCCATTGTCGCTTCGCGGCTTCTTAAATATGAGTCAACAAAAATAACAATTGGAATGTTGGGTGTTGCGAACTAGGGGTGCTAAAACGCAACGCACTAGCTCAGAGTGGGTAAAATTCTTCTGCTCCAAGACCAAAATCGTCGCAAACCATCGTGATGAATGAGTTTGCCCGCTAGTAAGTGCAGTCTTCAGACCTCAACATAATTAATCGCTTGGATTCTCCGTTTGCACGTGTCTATCATGCTCAAAAGGCCTCTTGTAAGCCTTTTGAGTAACTCAAAAGGCTTCTTGGAACACGATGCCCGTAGTACATGCACACAAAGGTTTGTACTACAACGGTGAGACCGATGTGTGCTTCATTCCCACCGGCAATCGTTTCACTCATTCGCGTGCCCACCATCGTAAGAAGCACGAACCAGGTCCGCTTAATTACAAGCATGCTATAGCATACGGTGAAATCACGACCAACGACTGACCAGGCGCCTGCGTCCACGGTCTGCCACCCCAGCCGCAGCGTGACGTACTCACCAGCAGGGGAACTCGAGCTCGTGTAGGCACCGCTGCCACCCCAGCCGCAGCGGCGGTGTACTCATCGGCATAGGAACTCGAGCTCCTGCAGGCACAGCTGCCACTCCAGCCGCAGCGGTGGTGTACTCCACGGGCAGGGGAACTCGAGCTCGTGCAGGCACCGCTGCCACTCCAGCCGCAGCGGTGATGTACTCACCGGCAGGGGGAACTCGAGTTGGTTGCAGGTACCGCTGCCACTTCCAGCCGCAGCGGTGATGTACTCACCGGCAGGGGAACTCGAGCTCGTGCAGGCCGCCGCTGCCACTCCAGCCGCAGCGGTGGTGTTCTCACCGGCAGGGGAACTCGAGCTCGTGCAGGCACAGCTGTCACTCCATCCTCAGCGGTGATGGTACTCACCGGCAGGGGAACTCGAGCTCGTGCAGGCACAGCTGCATGCAGGACAGCCTGGAGCCGACGCGCAGCCGGCGCCGCGGGTACTCGTTCAGATGGTGGCCCTGCACGCGCTCGTACGCCCACGGCCGCGTGCAGACGCTCCTCACCGAGCTGAGGCACACCTTCTGCAGGTACAGCGTGTACACCGGGTACTCGGAGCGGGTGGATGGCGCCTGCGGACACGGCACACCGGCGTCAGACCGCGGCCGGCCGCTGACTGAAGCACAGGTCCGGATGGGACGCTTTGATGTGGTGTGAAGGACCAAGGCTAGCCCATGGCGAATGATGCTGTCATGGGTGCGTCGTTAAGGAGGGAATATTAGATACAAAGCTGTTGGCACAATGACAATGTTTAGTATCTTAATTGCAAAGGGACGCGAGGCCGCGGTGAATAGATCAACATTTCCGGAACAGTTTCACACGGTACCGGACCCTGCCTACCGTCTAATTCTCGTGCTCCTTTTCGCGTTATCATTCTGCTTTCTTCACTCCCTGGGTTTCAACCGTATAAGTGTACCGGCACAGTCGCAATAAACATTTCATCAGTGTTTAATCGCCGAAACATATCTGGTAAAGAACGCCAGGTAATGGTCTCAGCTGCCCCCCGAGATTGGGAACGATATAATTTACCTTTTCAGGGCATAATCCGGAAAGCACATCTGAGTGAAACACCAAACGAACAGGTTCGGTGATAACCCTCTTCTCAAGCGGGCCAACTTGCACTGATTGTTTTCTCATCTACACCACAGCATTCACGAGACTTCACCGCAGCGAATCGACGGCGCCTGGATGCGGGCCTTCACACGAGACCAACCAAGTATGCCATCCCCACGCCAAGCCAGAGCGGCCAGGATTTCTCGAACTCCTCAGAACGACATTCCAGAATAGAACGGCCCGGCCGCGACGGCGCCGGCGGGACACCCCGTCCACAGCTGTGCGGACCCCGCGCGGCGCTGGGCCGGGCGCCGGCCGCACCCCGCGTCCGGCCCGACCGGAGCGGCGGGGCCCGGGTCAGCCGCGAGTGGGCTCCGGAACGGGCAGCAGGTTCCGCACACAAGTGGCCCAGCCCAGTGGCACGACCCAGTTGCAGCCGGGCCGTCTGATGGGTCCATCCGCCGCCGGCCACTTTCCAGCCAGCAAACACAACATTGTCACGCGCTCGTTGCAGTGCGGGGCCGAGTCGGTCCGAGCGGCCCGAGGCGGGGCGGGGGACAACGGCCTGGGTGCAGCGTAGCGTTCGAGTGCGCATCTCACTGCCCGCAGCAGCCAGCTGACCTGACCATGTTTGGTCGAGGCGGTAAACAGAACCTGGGGCACATGAGACAATCACTGGCTGTAAAAATCACTTTGAAGCTGTTTCGTACAAATCCGTTGACATTTCATTCAGATAGCCAGGTTTTGCACTTCCGATGCACGTTCGAATAGCGGTGTAAAAAAAAAGATTAAGGTGTTGCATGCGATTTCGCACACCTTCGAATGCCACCCTTGTGGAAGCATGAATGCCTTGGGAGTGCGCTCAAATTGGCCAAGTACCGAGCCAAGAATAAAAAACATTGATAATGTCGCTACATTGTTAATGCCATGCGGCGCGACGGTGTGAGCTCGCTTGGCTGAATTGCAGACACCACTTTTGAAATCAGATCAAGCCGAACATGCCATGGGGAATTCCGACTTTGTCCCAACTGTGCTCTTACGTCCGTCAGTGCAAGTATATTCTACGACTGCCCCTCTTAGATACACGGAGTGTTCCTGACTTGCCTTTGCAGACTATTTCCTCCGTGTGGACAGCCAATCGCGATGCAATATTTCAGTTCCGCAATAGCGGTACCTGGCGCTGAATCGGTACCTGCGATAGGTGCTGCTGAGGATGGTGCCAGTCCAGATACCAGTCAAATATTGCGGGATTTAAGCTGAAACACATCATAGACTGGTGCTTCTAAAGTGTCGATAGCGGGCTTTTAGAGCATGTCGCATCTTTACTCCTCCCAGTCAGTATTCAGTGGCCTTTCAGGTCGGGGGGAGGGTGGGCATACGGCTGGAATCACAGCATCCACCGAAGAGCGTTTTCCAGAGGTGCCTTATAAGCTTAAGGTCACTTTTGACTTAGTTATTACCTGCGTAAGGTGGTGCTGGGCATTGCTGAGACCATGCTTCGTCTCCGCGCATGCTTTCTTTTCGCCGAGGAGTGGGCCCGATTCATTGCGAAACTCAGCACACCAACGAACTTATTGTTGTCCTTTTCCCGTCAGACACAGGTAATTATCATTTTCTTTAAATGGCATGTTAATGTGTGTGTCGTTATTTGACAGCCATGAACGAAACTCTGGTGCACGAGTAGTGAGATCTGGCACTAAGATAAATAACTGGTCATGAAAATTGCCCAAAAAATTTGATAAATTTCCGAAAGGAGAGCAGCTTTTTTAAAAAGTGATTTGGCGCCACATGGTTTATCACTTCATCTTCTCGGATATGGGTGGAACTCGCCGAGTTAAAAAGAGGACACACTTAATATCGCCGACCGCTATTACTGGTTGGCTACTAGTCACTTCCAACGCTTCCTCACATGGCGTGCATGAAACAGTTCAAGTCAAGACCGCCTTACGGCTCCCTAAATCTGCTTGTTCTTGGTTAAATAAGATGCTCAAACTATGAATTGTGACAAGCTCCGGGGATCAAACACACAAAGATCAGACAAATATTGCTCCTTCATCGACTGCCACATAGCTTTGATGTTCTAACGATTCCGCGCGGTATAACTACCATTGCTGAAAAGTGCCTGGGACAATGTATCGGCAACAGCCTTAGCAAGAAATGAAAAATACACGCATGCATATCACTGCAACCCGAGTGCCAAAATACACTTGAAGGTCAATATATGCCTGAACTGACATAAGATAGGTGACTTGATCATAAGTAAAAAAAACCAAGCCGCATGGGCAAAGATGACCACGCAAACGTTGTAATGGCAATGGAACAGCCTTACCCGACACTGCGTTCTGAAATACTAAAAGAAATAATCGTTTTCTTCCTGTGCTGTTACAGATTTGTCATGCAGCGTCTTAACGATGCCTTGCTGTACTAAAACAATGGAGACAAATGCCCATCAAAGCGCCCGTGTGGAGATATCTCTCCTCGCACCAAGTTAACGGCACGTTGTTTTGTGAGCATGCGAAAATGACCAAAGACTATGATTGTGCATTGTGTGCAAATGCTGCCGGAGGGGAGCAGTCAAAGCTGAGAAGCCAGCACGGCCCGAGACGGCGGGCTGCCGCGGCCGTCGCCGCGTCCCCGGGCCCTGGGGGCGGCCGGCTGGCTGGCGGGGCTGGCTGGCGGGGGCTGCCTCTCACCCGGAAACTGCTCGGCGCTGGAGGAGAAGAGCACGCAGAGTCCGGTCTCGTAGTTGAGTCCACGGCACGCGCCGTTATCGCCGCACAGTTGGACGCACTCGTCCAGCAGGAGCGTGCCCGGCCGCGTGTCGAGCAGGTCCCCGGGTGCGCTGTACACGTATCCGGTCCACAGCTCGAACGCCTGGTCGGCCGGTGGGCAGGCGAGCTGGGCGCCGCTCGACGCCAGCAGAGCGGCGGCGGCGGCCAGCAGCGCGGCCGCGAGAGCCATGGCGGGACCGGTGAGCACGCGGTCCCGTCCGTCCAGCGACTGCCGGACCGTCGCAGCCGCCGCCGCCACCGCCGCCGCCGGTACCGCTGCCCGGCCCGGCCGCCGGCGCCGTGACCTGGCGGGGCGGCTCCGCAGCCGGCGGCACCGCACCGGCCACGGCCCGGGAGCAGGCGCGACGCTCCAGAGGAGCCTGAGGAGCTGAGGAGCTGAAGCAGGACACGGCAGTGCCGGCACTGCGGCGCTCCAGCACAGGACGACCGGACGCTAAAGAATGGTATTTGACAGCATGCAAGTGTTGCCGAACAGAGGACAGGTAATGCTGATTCCATTCCCTAAAATGGTGATTGCATTAGCCTTCAGCCCGCGCTAACACTAATGGACAATGACAAATTGGGTGCCAGTTAAATGCATGAAAAAGCAGAAAAATAGGAGCGAAGCGTATCCTTGCTTCATCACCATGTACCTATTCATGATAACACGTTTGCGAATTTGACCCCACCGTACTAAACCATAAAGCACCGCAAATGTGCAATCACGAATAAGTGCATGACGAAGAACGTGTCGGAAGTCAAATTCAGCTGCTATTTCGGTAAGCCTCCCGGCATTCTGTTCCATTCCATTATCACGATGCTGGATACTGTTCGGTTAGCATTCCTCAAGCGTGTTTTAATTTCATGCAGATACAAGTTCATGCACTAAACTGCGTAATTGCACTCATTGCCCAATGGTGTCCTTACTAGAGTCTGACGTTATTTTCAACGGACAGAATGTCCTCACTTCATTCGGACATCAATATAAAGCACGTTAGAGAAAGTGGACCTAATAATATCAGGTATCGCGAACTGTGCAGAAGCAGAAGCAAGGCAATGAGATATGTATTAGCTCGTTATGCAGATACGCACGGGTGACACTCCAAAAAGTTTTCGACTGGAACAGTGTGCTTTTCTAAATCTAAAAAGTCCATTTCGCTGGAAATTTCCAATACAAAGGAAAATGAGGTAGTAGTTTTCTGATCGGTAACCTCAAAAATGTACAATTAGTATCAAATTACATGATGTGCTTCATTTAATTTAGTTCGGCTGTGCCACTTTGATCCGGGTGCTTATCGAAGGGCAGCAATACGCAGGAAATGACATGACAATAATTAAGCTAATGCCTTACTACTTCTGCCTTGCAATCTTGTCAGATACAACCAGTGTTTGACAAGCAGCGCAGATATGACTCTGAGGGAGACAACGTGCCATACTGAGGGCTGCTTCGAGCGAGACGGCTGGTGGCAGGCTCGTCTTGTGGCTGGGCTTCCGGCGTGTGAATGGTCAAGGCAGTCCATCAACCGGCTTATCTTGGGACTTGACGGGGGCGGTTCCGGTACCAGTAGGCCAAGTAGTGGACACCCCGGAATTAATTTGGCGTAAGACCAAATGAGCAACGTGTTGGGGCTGGCCCGCTGACATAAAGATTAACCCGGAACCTGGCTGAGCTAGAGCAGGATGGCCATGTCACTAGGTTTCTCCAGGTCGAGCGTGCAGCGGTGCCTCAAGTCCAAGAAGACAACGTGCGTTTTAGTCAGCTTACAAGTCCTCTGTTGACTGACCCATGCGTCAGAAACAGAAATCTTGAGGCCTATACCAGAAGACTGGCGGTGAAGAAGCCAAGATCGTGCTTATTACCGATAAGAAGCATTAGGCAGAGGAAAGAAGAGCGAAAGAGCGAAATCCCGAGTAGCCTCGCCCCGCCTTTCAGACTTATTCTGCCGATTAGAGTGCTCCCTTTCTTTTGCCACCTCTTTCTCTCCTCCTCCTCCTCTTCCTCCCCCCTCTCTCTCTCTTTGCTCTCTCTCCCTCTCTCTCACCCTCCCTCTCCCTAGCGGTGACCCGGTCCCTGGGAGCGGGAGGGGCGCGTCACGTTGTACCGGCCTAACTGGCTCCACTCGGCGCCGGCCCGTCGCCTGCCCGTCACCTCGGCAAGACAGACGTCTGGTGGTCGCGGGAGCGTCCCGCCGGCCGGACCACTCTTGATGACCGGTCAGCCCGCCCCCATCAGCCGGCCGGCCCGCCCTGGCATCGGGCAGTCACTCGATCCTGGACGAACGTGGCGCCGCACCGAACGTGCGCCGCCGCACTCCTCGGCAGAAACTGACGCTCGTCACGAGCGGCAACGCGGATCATTCGGGATGGGTAGCGCTGAGACGCGTGCGGCGCTGGCAGACAAACAATGGTTAACAGATTTGACAATAAATGGCCGGCAGACGATGTGATACATCACAGCATCCGTCACATCAACGCAAAAAGACAACCTATAGATCGGCTTTTGTCGTAGCTTTCCAATCCGCGCTTGAAGGGAATGATCCACACTTGAAGATATTGAAGCAAGCATCAGATATTATAAAATATGCTCACTTAAAACTATTCGTGTACTTTTGAGCGGAAAAACCCGAAAACCCATCATATTTCTCTGTTTGATAAATACGCTCCTCGACACGTCAATATCTGATTACGACATTGCACCTTGCACGACATTAATTGAGAGCTAATGGACGGCCGTTATATCTGAAAATGGCGCTCACGAACGCCAGATGTGAACGACTCGACAATTATATTTTTGGCCTTGGTCGCCGCATGGGCAACCGAATGGTAGGATTCGAATGACTTTATATTGGCGTCATGACTGTCTGGATGACCTTGAAATAGTATCCACGAAATAGTCTGCACATCTTCACCGGCGTGTAGCTCAGAAACCAAGGGAGCTGAGGTCTTAAGGAGAGCAAAGCTGTGAACTGCACCGAACAATCTTCAAGATAGCTATTTCAGTTAAAATCGCAGGCAAATGTGGAACACCCTTTAATACTGACTATAATAAGCAAATTTGATGTGTGTCTATGGTACGCTGCCTGCAGGAATTGCGTGGAGAACAGCGTGAGAATACATGTCTGCATCCACTCGACCGTGTAACTGTAGGATGTCGTGCCGAAGTCATTAGCCACGTAGCCACAGAAGCTTGAGTGCCAAATGTCACATGTGTGTACCATCACCAATAACCTGCAATGCATGCACAGGAGCACTCATCTTTGCACGGGCGTATCGAAAGCGTACCAGCCCACTCAAAACACACAATAATCAAAGCCGAAACGTCCCTAAAACCGCAATACCATAAGCTGCGTAAGTGCACTTTAACTGTAGTCACCACCACAAGTTCCTGAAAGCTAGTCATGGGACCGATGTTTGAAGGCCTATGATCATTTCTCCGCAATACGTTGCGTTTAAGTTGCGGTGGGCTAACGAGATTCCGAATTATCTCAATCGCCAAGAATTAGTGCCAGTGGATTCACTCGATTGCAAGGAAAGGCATGAGCCCGCGGGCGGTTCCGCGCACCGTCCGCGCCGAGGAGTTCGAGGGAGGGCAGATGGGCTCCTGGGCCCTGGGATGCCTTTTGCGAGGTACCTGATCCAAACTGGGCGGGCATGCTGTGGTCACGGACTGACAACATCTCAAGGGTGATCGGAGAGGGCGTGTAACACGTCATGGTAGCGTATCACGTCATGGTAACAGTAACATACCATGGTACCATGCGATGGTGGCAGCATGTGAACAAACATATGAAGTCTCATACAACTGGCTACAAAGGCGGATTGGTCACAACAACTGGTAACTAAGCATTTATAAAATGGATATTGCTGAAATAGAATTGCACAGTGTTCATTGGAAAATGCCACGAAAATAACTTTCTAAAAAAAACTGTGACGCCTTATCAACAAATTTAGGAAACAGAGTTGGCTGCACGAAACGAAAACTCCCATTTTAGACACGCAAATATACACGAAGTTGATATCGAAAAGTGGCACCCATTTCAAGTTCTGGCTGTTCCAACTCATGACTTGCGTCTTATTACCCCACATGTCATCGCGTGCTCTCCTATCTCATGCATCGCGTACGACTGGCGTCGCGCGCTGAAGACCCATGACCACGCACTTCCCCCTCGTGCAGTAATGGAGGGGCCACATCCGGCCGTGTTCTACATCGGGGTTCGACGGAGGACCGGCTCCGTCTGGCCGCGGGATGACCCCACGAGGAGTCAAATAGACCCGCAGCGAGTTTGGGCCGAAACGGGCTGCCGAAGAATGGCGACACTCGCCTTGTAGCTGGTCTGCAGACCGCAACGTGAGAGAGAATGACGAATTGTTTCCAGCTGAATGTCTGCGCTGAATGTCCGTCCCCTGAGCGTGGGGTCACCCGGCTGGCCGGCGCGTCGCCGTAAAACTGGTCCGGCCGGGGCGTAGTAGCCTTTTGCACGAAGTCGCGTGAGCAGAGGATCTTGCGCGTGGAGGTGACCGGTGTCAGCAGTGCGTAGTGCCTGCTGTTGGTGGAAGTGAAAGCGTCGCGTCTGTTGGAGAACTAGGACGTAGATGACCAGTTGCGGGAGGTACCCCCATTCACGGCGTTATCTACACGCTCGAAGATGTGCGGAATGATTGTGACCAGGCCGCGGACGTTGGCTACTACGCAAGGGACCTAGCTGAGAAATATTGACTTGCTCACTCTAAGGTGAACAAAATATTCTAAAAACCGGCATCCAACTCACTACACAGCCTGAATTCAGAGGCTCACACCAGCACGCGGTCAGGCATGAGCATCACCAGACGTGCACAGTGCACATTCCCCGTGGTCACGTGACGCCGTCTGTTTTGGCCTCCGCTCCATGCCGTTACGTCCGTCGGCGTTATGGGGCACCGGTTACGGTTCCATGCCGGCAAGCACCAGCACGTCTTCCGTGGTTATGGTCGCTACTGCTCGCTCAGATCTAGGACGCCCTCTCCGAGCCGATGGCCCCTGATAGCCGTGCAGGTGCCGCGCAGTGAAGCATGCAGCAGTGCAGACGGCAGCCTTCTTCCGGTCGGGTGCATTCGTCACCACTGGACCGGGTCCACAACCGGGATGAGCTCGGCGAGCACGTGTGAGACGTGAAGGCGAGAGAAAGACGGCGAAGGTAGCATTGCGGGCGT